CTGGTGTGGTGTCATATCAGATCAAGTGTTGTAAAGTTGAAACTGACGTCAGCAAGTTGAAATAGGGTGTCAATTTAGAAATGCTCTAAGTTGTAACTCGAAACGTTGCAAGTCGAGGACTGCCTGTACTGCTGTATTTTATTATAATCCTAAAGTTTAAGATTTATGTTTCCCAGGCAAATCCTCAAGACAGGGGAAAGCTGATGCTGTATGAGAAGCAAGAAGCCTATGGGCCAACTTTTGGAATTTTATCACATTAACAAAACTTCTTGACTAAACCCTCAGTGGTTTCCTACAATTCTGAAGGGTGCTATTGGACTGCAAGTCTTTGAAGCATGAACTTTGTCAATTCAGCACTTAGATGTGGATGCCACTGTACTCTACACACAATGATTTAAATCTGATTGTGGCAATGCACTTGCAGTTACTGCCACTTTAAGGGATAAGTCAAGCAGCCAGCAGGTGCTTGATTGCGGCAGCCATTTTAAACACTGGCTGCCTGTATAAATACAGCAGTTTGCTGCTGGCAGCCCAACCAGAAACATTGCCTGGCTGAAAGGCTGTATGAAACATCTCACAGGTAAGAGCGGGAGGCTCCTGGTCCTGGGCATGACCTAAAGCTGCACCCTGCTGAGGATGAGTGGCCTGGTGGGGCTCCTGGTGGCGTGGGAGTCCCCAGAAAATGCCAGGCCAGTTACCAACCTGGTAAAAGGTGAGTTGGGGCACCTTAACCCCTAATCCCCACAACACTGTGGGTACAAAGGAGCCAGGCTATGGCCACCTAAACCTCCACAGAGAAGGAAAACCCTGGAGCCCCAGAGGAAGGGGGTAGATGTGTAACCCCATGGAGGGTGTGGTAGTGAGGGCCTGGAAGCGGGTTGAGTAGGGCTGAGGGGCAGCCTGAAGCACAGCCCAAGGGGGTGCATTGAGTCAGGCTGTGGGACAGCCTGAAGGGCAGCACATGGGCCAACCCCTGGGAGAAGGAGTCAGTTGTGAGGATGATGAGAGGTGGGAATGTTGATGACACTGTTTCAGACAAGGGCTTTCATACAATACCATATTTCATCAAATAAGATGACCCTCCAATAATTAGATTCTATATGTGGAAAATTTATACATTTATTATAACTTTCCTGGTATGGAATCTAATTACTGGAGGTTCACCTTGAATTTGTCCCCCTGCTACAGCAGGAAAAATAAATCTGGGTGGTCAGCTGGTCCCCTTACCCCCTGCTTACCCCCAACTTATTCTCCCTACAGCTCTCCTTACTGTCAGACCCTGCTTTCCCTGGTGACATGGAAGTGAGGAACAACTTTGAAAACAATTACCTTGAAATTAAACAGGTTACCCACAGACTGTTTATCCTGAATTAATAAACTGATTCAAGGTTTAGCACAGGTATTCCATAAACACACTTTTAAGCAGCACCTAATTGTACGTAGTAGTACAGACTATGCGTAATATTAATCTGAAGACTTTTTTTCCTCATAATGACTGAAGAAAAACAAATCCTGTCTTGCATTTGAATAAATTTAGTGCATCTGCCAGACATCCTTTAGTTTTTTATGCTTGTTTGTACATGCACACACATGTGCCGAGTGTGCATACACACACATACATGCCATGTTCATTAACACTGGACATTTAAACTACTGGTATCTGATGAACTGTGCTTTCTCAGGTTTACATGCAGACACACTATCTGGCTGCCTATGAGACACTTTTAATAGAGACCCTTCCTTTCACACTGTTTCTGTCCACTCTTTCCCCCTTCTGCAGTCTCTCTCATGCACAAACATGACTGATGAAGCCCATTATTTATACCTTAGATAATAGATCTATTCCCATACAGATTCCTTTAGAAAATTTTGTTCTGGATGTAGATGCACTGGGCCAGAATGTACATTGGCTGGAGGGGTTAATTTACCATTTAAATTTGTTTTCTGTATTGATGTCTTTTATGGCATAATGTTCCAGAAAAGGGTTCCTTTCTGATTGCAGAAATAGATTTGGTCCATATTTTTGTGATAGGTAGAAAAAAGAAGAAACTGAAGAATAAATTGACACCCTAATGCTGGAGCTGTATCATCATCATATCCTATTGTTATTAATGAGATACATGGAAGAAAATCCTGACTCCAGACAAAGCTAGTGCAGTGTTAGCAAACCTAGCTGTGTTGCTAGTTATGCAGTGCTGTGAAAACAGCAATGGTTTTTGTAGGCACTGCACACAACTCAAAGGAGTAGTTCTGTAGTCCTAAGGTAAGATAGCCTCTTCACAGCATTCTTCTAGGAGGTAATAGAACAGAAGAAGCTTTTCAACATCAGTGGTACTGAAAATTAGCATTAGTTAAATAAAACTGTCAGATGCTAGGGCTACTTTTGTGTTCAAGACTACACTGCAGCATGAACTCTGAAGTCTATTTTGTTTTACCTGAAATTTTGAACTTGCTCTTCGAACCATATTTACTAGAAAAGGCATGCAGTATTTCATGTTTCATCAAACCCATAAGAATGTACAAATCCAGAGAAGTTAGCATTGGCCTCTAGTTTACAATGCAATTTGACCATGTGAAAATTAACTTAATCCAAATCTTTTTAACTCCCAAACTTCAAATCCATGCTATCAGATCCAATACGAAAAATTCACAAATGCAACAGCCCACAACACTGGGGGTTGTATTCATGCATACTGTGGCCCTGTTACCAGACAAATAGCTTTACAAAGTGCGAGACACAAATCACTTTCATCTTGCTTTGTTTAGCAGAACAGAAAAATAAACATAGCAGCTTCCTCAGAATTAATTCCCAATGGTCCCTTGCTTCACTGGTTCCTCTTATTTGGGACCTATTCTTTTCAGAGCAATAGTGTTCAAACATGGGAAAACAGAGAGAAGTACCATATGTAGCTAATGCAAACTTGTTGCCGTTGGTATAGTTGCTTACCTGCATATCTTTATAGTGCCTATTATGTTCAGAAAGAAATGCAAAACTCTAAGACTCTTGGTTCAGAGATTATACCTTTTACTAGACCAATATTTATATAATAAAACACCAATACTTATATAATTAATAACAATACTTAAATACTTATAAATAATACTTAGATAATAAAATAGCAATGCTTATATAATAAAATATTTTTCTTAGGTATTATGTTCAGAGACAGGTAGGTCTTTGTGGGCATATTGGCATGTTCCCCCACAATGTTAGCTGTCTCCCGTATGATCTTTCATAATAGAAGTGGGCAGGGTGAGTTACCCTATAGACTCTAGAGAGAGCCCTAAGGAAATGTCTGCACCACAAACTTACTGTACAGGCAACAGTGTCCGCAGACATACTACACTGATCCACACATGCTACCTTGTGAAATGCAAAGCAGTGTAGCCCTGTCAGTTACCAGAGCTAATTAGACCACTCACAGAGCTTTGTGACTGCTTCTGGGAGGTGGCGTGCATGGAACAACGCAGCATGTTTGAGTTTGTGGTGTAGGCATGCACTGTGGTGTAGATCAGCCCATATTTTTTAAGTCCTAGTCCAGCAAATGTTTGGCTTGCCCAGTATCTTAGTTGAGGGGCACATGTGAGAGGAGAGTTGAATGGCTTGCATAAAGTGTCCTGCTCCTTGCAGAGCAGGTCCATGTTGCATATGGTTTTAAAGCTACTCAGTAATTCATCTCACTGACCACTAGTTCCATCAGGACTTACCTCAGTATCTGCCTTCCAGCTTCGACTCACCATGTGACACTTATTTTAAACCATTTCCTCCTGAAAACTGATGTTCCCTTTCCCCCTGCAGCCATAAGGAGAAACAAGAAAGATTATAGCCTTTGCTGGTTTTATGTATTCCTGTGGGTCCATGCAGGCTGTTGCAGTCACCTACAATTTGGCATAATTCCCAGGAATAGTGCTTGACAAAATACATATTCCTGGCATGACCCACAGTGAACTCAGCCATAATCCTGAGTGGATGTAAAGTTGGAAGACAAAGGAATAAAAGAATGAAAATATTCCCCCCTGCCTACGTGTTAGCATGACACCTGCATCATATTGGGTACCTTTTTGACATCTCTGTTACATGCTTGGCCTTCATTTCTTGTGACTCGCATTATAAACTCCTTTTTTTAGGTCTTGTTTCAAAGCCCATTCCTTTGGCTCTGGATCAAAGAAAGTCAACAGAAGTACTACCTTTAGCTTCATTGGGCTTTGTATCAGGCCCTTAGGATATCATTTCAAAGCAGTTTACTAACATGAATGACTTCAGCCTCCCCAAATCACTGGGAGATCCAAGTGCTGATATCCCTGTGTTACAAGTAGGGAAACTGAGGCACTGAGAAGTCAAATGACTCACTCAAGGTCAAGTGACACAAACTGTCAAGACCAGAATCAAGACTTGCCTCTTGATTTCCAGAAACCTAAGGTACAGAGACATTTTGTGTCTTGCCCACAGTGACTGCTGTATGAATGCCAAGTCATAGAATTGAACTGAATTCTCCGATTCCCATTGTTGGGACATAACAGAGCACCTTTGGTGCCTGTCACTTTAAGGGCTTTGAGTGGCAGCAGGGCAGCCAGCAGGTGCAGGCCAGCCCTGATGAGGTGGTCACATGACCCAGAGAGAGCCATGTTATTGGAGGAGAGGGCTGAGTGGACTTAATTTTAGCTCAGGTCCTCAAGGCTGACCAAGCAGTCTGCTGTTGGCAGCTGGCAGCACAACATCTGGCTGAGCGGCTGCTCAGGAACATCTTGGAGGTAAGGGCAGGAACTATGGGGATTGCAGGAAGCTCCTGGTCCTGGGTATGACTTGAAACTGCACCCTGCTGGGGAAGGATGGTCTGGTGGGGCTGCCTGTGGCAAGGCAGCTCCTCAGAAATGCCAGGCCAGTTGCTTCCCCAGTGAAAGGTGGGTAAGGGTGCCTTATAAACCTAGCCCTTACTACTCAGTGGTGATAGAACACACAGTGGGGTCAAGCATGCCAAGGGAAAGACACTTGAGTCCCTTGGGGTATAAGACTTCAAACTCCAGGAAGGGGGCAAAGAGTTAGCCCCAAGGAGGGGGTAGAGAATGTCCCCAGAAGGCAGGGCAGGAAGAGCCTAGTGCCTGGTGAGGGGCTAATGGCTAGTTGGCCTAGTGTTAGGCACAAGGACTGTCACCCATAGAGTAGGCTGCAGGAGGCACCCAAAGGGCTGCAGAGGGATCGCCAGGAGTGAAAGGGGCCATTCAAGAGGAGCAGGGCAGGTTGGTAGTGGCCCTGTGAGAGGGGGTGGAGTGAGTGAGGCCCTGTGAGATGGGGCACAGTTTGTGTGTAGTGTGTGAGAAGCCCAGCAAGGGGCAGAGTTTGGCCCAGCTTCTGGCTGGAGCAACTAATAATTTTGGATGCCATCTGCGAGGCATGGGACACAGTAAGGGAAGGTCAGAGCTGTGTGTAGACCCCATGGCATTGGGACTATAAATGGGCAGCCTCCCGCTTATTTCATTTTGTATTATTGAACAGCAAGTCATGGCAGGAGAGACAGGGAGGACTTCCCTAGATAAAGGGGTGGGCCAGCACTGTGACTGGCCACATGATCTTCCCCCATCACAGGACAAACATTATTTTATAAACATTTTAAGTGACTTGAGCCTAAAAAACAGTTAATTTCATGTGCATTTTAATTAGTGTAGCCTTTCTATTTTTATATAAAAAAACTATTGCAGTATCTTCAATAGATTTGTTTATCTCTATCGTTAACTGCAATGTCTGATCGGCAGCACAGTCCTTCATAGATTCCACATCTGAAAGGAATATATGAATATATTTTTAAATTAGCATGAAACGGACAATATGGCAGACTTATTTCACAGACCCAGACAAAGACAAATGAAAATCAAGAATTCCTGTAATATCCTCAGAAAACATCTTCCTGAATAAAGTACACTTGGAAAGGCTTTGCTAGTTATTTTAGTGAGTGAAGATTGATGCTCAAGATTAGAAGCCTGTACCAGCAGACAAAGTACCTACTTAATGCCCCCCCACACACACGCACCAGCCGCTCTTAACCGTAGAGCTGAGTGACTAATTCTCACCTGATAATTTGTCCATCCTGTGCAGCTTTTTTCTTTTGTTCACTGAATATAGGCATATAGACTGTGATTTCCTCAGATTTATCTGCAATTCAAATGCACTTGACCATTTTATTTATTTATTTTACTTCTTAGATGACTGAACAATTTGATGCATGTTTGCTGCATAGTATTCAAAATATGGGTTACTTTAGTTATGAACAATGATAGAAACCACATTCCCTTGTTTCCAGCAGCTAACCAGATAAGCATAACTTTTTTATCAAGCAGAGAAGTCAGAGGCATAGATTTTCCCAGATATGCACTATCACCACATTTCGTAATTTGCAGGAGAGGGCTAGACAGACTACCTAAGGCATCAGTCCAACCAACATTACGGTTCTGTAAGATTTGTTGTCTGGGTGCAGAATTATTCAGTTTCGTCACATTCACCTCAAAAAATTGGATGTACACACACAATTATAGTTGCTAAAGGCACAATCAGATCTTTGTGTAATTTCCCATGTGCCAGGGCCATAGAGTTTTTGGAAAACTCTGCCCCTAGGTATGGCAAGCATTGTCCCTTTTAAACATACTAATTGCACAGAGCACAATGAAGAGAAATGGCCGCAGCAGCAGTGGGTGAAGAATTTTGTCCCTCATTAAGCAAGTTTAGGCTCAAGGCACCAGCATAGCTTTGTCATCTCAACCTGGCACTTCTGCTATATGGCAGTATTCGAGCGTGCAAGCTTAAAATTTGCTTTCCATGAGCATCCATGCAAGTAAAACTCGATCATTCTAATGTTTGCAGAAAGCAAACAGAAAGAGGGGTGGGAGCGCAGGAAAAGTGAGTTCATTTGTAAATTGCCAAAAAGTATTTTATATCATCCATCCATTGCCACCTAACAAATCCAAATATCAATCTCTCGAAGAGAAGTAAATGAGTCATATGGAATCCTTTAACCAACAGACAAAATATAGATTCTAACAAAATATTACAGGACTGCCCTTTCAAAAAATGTGAAATCTTAATCAAGTGAAAAATGAACATCTATGACAATGAATGTGTATACAAGGGTTTCTTAGCTCATTAAAGATAGGTGTCTAGAACACAAGAATAGTAGGCTATAGAGTAGGGGTGAGTTAGTCTAAAATGCAGAGATTAAATCAAGAAACAATTGGACAGACAGTCACTTTTAATTCAGGAAATGCAACCACATGCCTGCAGTGTCTCAGGCCAGAAATCAGGGGATGCTACAGCATAGGTCTCTGGCACGTAGCTAGCGTGGGCTGTGTGTTTGCTTCCTCTTCCTGCTGCTCCCAAGGTCTCTGGGATTTGCAGTCCAGACTTACAGCAGCAGAACTCTACATGGTTGCTCATCATTTCTTCTTCCTGCTTCCAGGTGCCTCTGGGATTTGTAGTCCATAGTTGGAGCCATGAGTAAGTTTGAGGTGGCTCACTGCAGTATGGTGGAGACAGCTCAGGGGTCTAGATCCAAAGGCTCTGAAAGCTGAATCTGGCCTGCTATCTGTAAGTTGTCACGTCCTGAGTAGCTACATTTTATATGGACCAGAAGGGACAACGTGTATTCGGGGTGAGGCTTGGAAAAAGAGCAAAAGGAGATTATGAGAGTTCTAACTGTGGGGGTGGAAAGAAAAAAGACCTTTAAAATGTTGTAGGAAAGAAATGGTAAATAAAAGGTTAACTGCATAGGGTGGTGAAAAGACCTCTACTGTTCAAACCATAGAATGGCAGTAAACTCTTTGTTTTAGGAATACTAAAATCAGGTGTTATGCTAAACTTACTCAATTTGGGGGATATATAAGGTTCTATCTGCACTACAAATACAGCTGAGTTATAGGATCAGGTTACAACATAGGCAAGGCTTTAACCAGGTGAGGGAACACAGTTAATACCCACCTGCACTATAAATTACAACCTTAATACAACCACTATAAATAATCATACTTTAACCACATCCCTTTCATGGGTTGTATTTCTAGAGCAGAATGTCCCTAAAATTCTGCAACAGGAAATAGCAATTGTAAGTCAACATGCCAGCAGCAAAGCAAAACAGATCAACTGCAAATGAAGACGTACCTCAGAAGCAAAACCTGTCCAAGATGAATGGAACATTTGTTTTGTGTGACCATCATAATCTGACTGGTGTCCAGAAGTCTGAGATTATTATAACAATGACACAGCAGTGGACTGAATTTCCTCAATGACAAATGAAAGCAGGAGAGAATGGAAATAAGTGTACTCAATGTCAATTCAGTGTTACATAGTATAATAAATGCCAGCATTCTCTGCATTCCATGTTTTATTTTTAACCATAGAGGATACTTAGTTCTTAACATTTGTGGTTGACCAAATAGATTCACACAATATACGTGAAACCCAAAGTAGATGGAAATTGAGTCACAAAGGAAGATTTTATTTGCAGATGTGACGGTAAGGGAAGATTGAAGACAGCACTATACACCAGACGTTGTAAGTCTGTTAAACTGTTTACCGAATTTAGTATGTATGAACTGAGGAAAATGATCTGGATAATTATGCTTTGTGGTAGATATGAATATCGCTATAAAAGGAACATTGCTGAAGCTAGAAATTTCACTGCTGCTCTTACTGCCTGATTCTTTAGCGTATATGCCATTTAATTAACTTTGAGCATAGATATAAAATAATTTATCCACTCTACCTATATAGTGGTTTTATAATGCTGCCCATCATTTTAGGAACACTTTAGAAAAAATAACATATGGAGAAGATTCTTCAGTAAAACTAGTGTTATCACTGTTGCTATTTCTTAGGCATTACCCCCCTTGAACAAAGTATCCTAACCCCTGATATCAAAATCCAGACAATGGAGGATTCCTATGGGAGGTGCAGAAAAAAAATCCCATGGGATAGGGAAACTTCAGGTTATGCAAAATCACTGAAGAGGCTCCAGCCTCTCAGCTACCAGCACAAGAAATAAAACAAATCCAAATAAGTCCAACTGAACCTCAGCTGCTCATGTCTAATACAAATTAGAACAGACTGAAGACTAGCAACCTGAACCTTAATGGCCCTAGTACTTGGGAGTACAACATTGCTTTAAAGCCACATTGGTTCATACCTTCCCCGGAGGGGCATTGAGTTCTTCTTGGATATAGTGCAGAATTAGAGCCTTGGGCCACATTCACACGTGTGGACATTTTGTTCCCCAGGGACAATTAGCAGTGGGACACCTTGTGTTGCCACTAATTGTCCCTGGGGAACACCTGTGCCATGCGCCCTCTGGCACATGACCAGTTACCCCGGGTTGGGTAGGGGAGGCTGGTGCCAGCACTGGGCTGGCCCCAGCAGCCTTACCTGGGGCTTGTGGGGCCTCCGGGGGCTGCAGCAGGGGTGATCCTGCCACAGGGAACTTAGCCAACAGTTGGAGCGTAGCTCCGGCTAGCCAGACTCTGGTTTTGAGCAGCACACGCTGCCCGAGTGTGCACCTCTCTGCTATTTTTTTGGCATGGGTTTTTTTGACCCCTGAATATCCAGGGGTAAACCCCCCCTCAAAATAAAACACGCTACTCCCTTGTAGTGTGGAGAACAGCTGAATGTGTGGTATGTGGTGCCACAGACCAATGAACTTTACAAAAGCATTTGCAAGCATTTAGTAAAATGCACATCAACATTTCAGCTCAAGAATTCCATGCAAAGAGAACCAAATTGACCCATTTTTGGAACACAAAAAATCAACACTGCCAAAATTTAAAAGTCCTAGACTTCCATAATCCATTGCTATATTTTCTCTACCAAAATGGTCCTTCCTAGAATGACCATTGCAGTAACTTCACTGTATTGATATGTTTTCCTTGTAGCATTTTTTTGTTCTATTTAGTGTATAAGATTGAAGTATCTGAAAATGAACAGGACTGCTTTTCCTACATGAGATATGTGAGCCATGCTTATTTTTCCTGATTACCTGAAAAAAAATTATTCTAGGAAAAAAATCCTTTCCAAAAAACTCCAAACTGAGATTAAAAATGGCTTGAAAAGGAATATTCCTTTTTGTGAAAAATATGTCACCACTATGAAACTTTGTTTCATCTGGATTTGGGATTAAAATACAAAATTCCAAATTCTTTGGGGGAATGGAAATTTCAAAATATATTTGTTTCAAAATAGTTCAAACTTTCCATCCTGACATTTGACAAGTTTCATTAAAAAATGTTAAAACGAAGGATTTATGTGAAAAAATATAAAAATAGAACATTTTGTGTTGAAATGTCAAAATGTTTCATGGAATAGACGTGATATTTTGGGTGACATCTTTAATTGGGTATCTTCAGGTGACCTGAAAAAAAGTTTTGCATCTGAAAGCTTGTCTAACTTTATCCAACTATGAAGTTGGTCCAATAAAAGATATCACCCAGAAAAAAATCTTGCTTCTCTCATAATTCCTGGACCATCATGGCTAAAATATGACTCTAATCCTACCAGAATATTTCATTTAATTATTTTTTACATCCTTTATGAAACAATATGCACTTAGCCAATCAAAAGCCCACAGGGCAAGATATGATACCTGTACCACAAGTTGAAAAAAAAATTAACCTCTAAATTAACTGCCAAAATCAAAAGGAAAACCTAAAATAAATGAAGAATTTATAGTTTCATAGATTCATAGATTAAGGGTCGGAAGGGACCTAGTAGATCTTCTAGCCTGACCCCCCCGCCAGGGCGGGAGAACAAAAAAAACCCCAAAAAGAGAAACAGGACTCAAATGAGTCCAGCCAGGTAGGCATCCAGCCTCTTCTTAAAGACCCCCAGGGTAGGGGCCAGCACCACTTCCCTTGGAAGTTGGTTCCAGCTCCTAGCCGCCCTAACTGTGAAGTAGTTTTTGCGGATGTCCAATCTATACCTCCTCTCCATCAACTTGTGCCCATTACTCCTTGTTATGCCAGCGGGCGCTAGGGGAAACAGCGTCTCCCCCAAACCCTTCTGGTCCCCCCTAGTGAGTTTATAGACGGTCACCAGGTCCCCCCTCAGCCTTCTCTTGTGGAGGCTGAATAGGTTCAGGTCCCGCAGTCTCTCACTGTAGGGTCTGCCCTGTTGTCCCCGGATCATGCGGGTGGCCCTCCTCTGGACCCTCTCCATGTTGTCCACATCCCTCTTGAAATGGGGCGCACAGAACTGGACACAATACTCCAGCTGTGGCCTGACCAGCGTCGCGTAGAGGGGGAGGATCACCTCCTTGGCTCTACTCGAGATGCACCTGTGGATGCATGACAAGGTCCGGTTAGCCCTGCCAACCATGACCTCGCATTGTCGGCCCATGTTCATCTTGGAGTCAATAATGACTCCAAGATCTCTTTCTGCCTCCGTGCTCTCGAGTAGGGAGTTCCCCATTGTGTAAGTGTGCTGCTGGTTCCTACTGCCCAAGTGCAGCACCCTGCACTTGTCCGTATTAAAACGCATCCTGTTCCTGTTAGCCCACCCCTGTAACCTATCCAGATCCCTCTGCAATCTCTCCCTCCCTGCTAGCGTGCTCACCTCCCCCCAAATTTTGGTGTCATCAGCGAATTTAAACAGGTTACTTTCCACCCCATCATCCAGATCGCTGATGAAGAAATTGAACAGCGCAGGCCCCAGGACCGAGCCCTGGGGGACTCCGCTACCCACCTCCCCCCAGGTCGAATATGACCCATCCACCACCACCCTCTGAGTGCGACCCCTCAGCCAATCTGCAATCCATCTGACTGTGTAGGCATCGATGCCACAGTCACCTAGTTTTTTAACTAGGATGGGGTGAGAGACGGTGTCAAAGGCCTTGCTGAAGTCCAGAAAGACTACATCCACCGTGACACCTGCATCCATGGCCTCCTTGAAATACAATGAAATAAAAACCCTGATTTGATTTGATTTCAAATAATTCTAGAATTTTTAATGGAAAATAGACATTGAAATAGATACATTTTCATGAAATGTTACCATTTCAATTATATTCTACTTTTTCTCAAGAAAAAAAAGTAGATACCAGTGTGAGGAAACTTGTAATACTGAGGCCAGTCTTGACCTATGCATGGCTACATGACTGAGACTGGCACAGGATGCAGTGTTCAAATTTAGATCCATGCAGGTCAAAGTTGGTTGAGTCCTGGGATTTTGTTCTGGCTCATCAGAAACATTTATGCTATTTCAGTCTATGGGGAAAGTTTAGGCTATATACATTCAAAAAGAAGAAATACTTCAAATTAGTGCAATCTCTTGGGCTGTTATTTTCTTCATGTAGAAGCTTCTTCAAGGAATCATTTTGATCTTTCATGGAAGCTACTGAACAAGTGTCAGATAACAAAATGTAGACG